TAACGTCTTAACTCATTCGGCTGTCAGCCGCTCTTATAAAAATTAAATTTATTTGTCAATAAATATGGTTCATAATATTTTAAAGTTTAATATATTATTTGTCTTGCTATTTTGAGCTAAACTTTTTGCATCTTTATTTGTTTTATGGGTCATTTAACCATGGAGAGGTATATGCATTTAATTCAAATAATACTTTGTTGTTGGCCGTAAACGACTAAAGAAATTAGTTACTTTTAACTGTCAGAAATAGTCAAATATGGTGACTAATCTTAAATTAGTCAAACTTTTACTATTTACATAGTAAAAAATAACTATTTAAAAGTGAAAATAACTATTTTATTAGTAAAAAATGCTGGTACTAATTCAAATAGTAGAATTTTGACTATTTCATTTTTAGAGAGTATAGAAAAGTTTATAAGCGAGGTGCATATACTATACTTTTTCTACGACAAATACTTACTATTATCTTAAAATGATTTAAATCAAATATTTTTATAGAGCGCCATCTATGAAACAATATGGGAATCTGTGTGTCACCGTCAAATGTAAAATTTTTATATAAAATTATAAACATAGATTATAAAGGTTATAAAACGAAATGTATTTCTTGAAAATGGACAGCTTTTTACAGTGAAAGTAAAGAAAATGTTTTATGAGCACTTTACAGTGGAGTCCTATAAGGCGCCGCGGCGCGGTTTGTGCCATAATTATGATTTATAAAATATATAATAATTTGTTAAAATATAAATATTCTTTTAATTTTAATGTATTGATTTAATATAAAGTTATTTTTTCATACCGTCCCAAAAATGTTCATTTTAAGTATAAAAAATGCAAAAAAAATTAAAATTAAATTTTATTTTGGTTATTTTATTGTTTTAAAACTATATTTGTTTAAAAGGATTTTCAACAATTTTTTATGACGTTTCAACAATAAAAAGTTAAAATTTGTTAATAACAATAAGGTGATGATAATTATTTTTTTTTGCACAAACTTTCATAAAATTTAGTTGATTTTTTTCATAATATTTTGAATTAAGAATATATCAATATTCCATAATAAGTTATTATTAATAACACACAAAGTTGACAAGTTTTTTTAAATTTAGTAATGAGTGTTATAACTAGGGATGGGATTTTAGTTATTTTTCCTTTTTTTAACCGATGTAACTATGGGGCCGTTCATTAATTACGTGAGACAATTTTGGCGATTTTTCGACCCCCCCCCTCCCCTTGGTGAGATGTCGTGAGATTTTGCTCGACCCCCTCCCCCCCCCTTAATCTCACGTGAGATTTTTTAAAATGCATGGTTTTAATGTAAATAAGTTAATCTGTGCTTGATTCCAGTAGATTTATTAAAAAAAACAATTTGCTTATAATTGTTTACTTAATTTAACCCAGTTTTCTCGCAATTTTACACTCTTTCTTTCGAAAAAAAAAAAATTACGTGATATTTGCCGAGACCCCCCCCCTCCCCCCACGTGAGATTTGGTGAGGTTTGGCTCGACCCCCTCCCCCCCCTAAACACCTCACGTAATTAATGAAAACCAATAATGCCAAAATGTGTTTTAAAAGATTTTCTTTTATATGAACCTAACTTGTTTTCACCTTTTTTTACCTTTTTTGGAGGTTTTTGCTTTTAACTACCTTTTTTATACTTTTGTTACCTATTTTTTAAACTTTTGTTCACCTTTTTTACCTTTTTTGGAGGTTTTTGCTTTAAATTACCTTTTTATACTTTTGTTACATATTTTTTAATTTGTCAGTTTATTTTCACATATTTGTTACCTATTTTTACGTATTTTTACTTATTTTATTTTTTTTGTTCTTTTTAAAATTTGCGCCAATATTTTATCCAGGGCGTGCAACTCAACGGTATAGAATTTTTTCTTATGGTTACAGACTGTAACAGTAACTTTCTTTACAGTTACCTTCTTTGTAGTTACTCACTACTAGTGAGCTTATGTTCTGTCATAGAACTTCTGTGTAGTGAGTGTCACTCAGTAAAACACAGTTTATTGCATAGAAATAGTTTATTGTGGGTATGTTCTGTGTTTGGGTATGCGGCTAAACAAAATTATAAACGAAACTTAAACTTTTAATGATTTTTTTTACCTAAAATGCTGTTTTTTTTAACCTAAAATGCTTTTTTTAGTATATATGATTTTTTATTTTGTATTAATGTTTATGATTAAAATTAGTTTTAAAAATTTATGACTCGAAAACTAGGGGTCAGTAAAAATACCTAGTATATTATGTATTGAGTTTGATAAACGCCATTTTAAACACGAATTTAATTAAGGCACGAGCGATTAATTAAAGGAGTGTCTAGAAAAGTTTAAAAACCAGTTACATACTATAATTTTTCTACTTTATTACTTTTTATATTTATTATTATTTAAAAATGTCAAATTTGTATGTGTAAATCGAAATATATCCCTTGAAAATGGACCGTTTAATCCGATATAAAAACAGTGAAAATTTTTTTTGGCACTTCACGGTGGAGTCTTTACCCGAAATTAAGTTAAATCTAGTTTACTTCCGGCGAAATTAAAAAGTCAGTACAATGTTCATATAAACTTTTAAAACTTTTTAATACTTTTGTATTGAGATAATAAAATAATTTTTACATTTAGTAGATATTAGTTTACAATAAGGGCACTATGTTAAAGTTTGTATGACATTTGATAACTGTCAACTAACGTAAAACTAACTTTAGCCCATGACTAAAAGGCCATAAAGCTACAACTTTTCAATGTGTATTTAAAAGGTCACTTAGTGTCATGGAAACATGCACGATAATGGGCGTTTTAAAGGTGGTTCCTTCAATTTGTATAAAATATTTTATTATATAAGTATTACTTAATTTATATTTTATCTTCAAGCGCTCTATAATATAAGATTTATTATTGTCAGTTATTGATTATTGCCTAGGCTGTAAAAATAATTTAAACCAATGGAGTAAAAGTTTTTATCCTCCTAGTCTGTAAAAACCCGTTTGGTCCAATAAAAAGAATATAGTACAAAGAGTATAGTATAAAGATTATTTGAATTAAATAAATTTTATTTATATCAAATAAATTATTTATTTCGATATACCCAAATAAATGTTCTTTTGAATGTAAAAAAAATATTTATTTGTTTTAATTTATTTCATTTAAAATTAATTTATTCAACGCAAACAAATATTATTAGTTTGTATGAAATAAAACCAAGTAAGAAAAATGTATTTTTTTAAATTAAAAAAAAGGTTTTTATTTACGTAAAACAGATAATTTATTTCATTTAAAATTAATTTATTTAACTTAAATACCTATAATATTTGTGTTAAAAACAATTTATAAATAATTTATTTGGATTAAGAGATTTTTTTTTAAATTAATAAATTTTAATTTAAATTTAAGAAGAATTAATTAATTTAATTTAGATTTATTTATTTAAATTAAATAATTATTATATTTGAATTAATAAAAATTATTTATTCAGATTAAAAGATATATTTTTTTAATTAATAATGTTTTTTTCATCTAATCTAGTAATTAATATATATTGGTATATTGGGGAGTAAAAATAAATTAAATTTTTTATAAATAAACACTAATCTTTATTGCATAAAAGTCTTATAAATACATATAGGAAACCCTAAAATATACAAATACTTCACATATATAATAATAATATAAGTATTTTTTAAGTTATAACTTAAAAAATACTTATGTTAATTTTAACTTAATGTTAATGTGTGCTGCATAAGTCCACCAGGGTCCGCAAATAGTAATGATTAATTCCAAGTAATTATTTAAATTACTTACCTTTAAATACAGGAATAAATTTCTCAAGACCCCATTCCTTTAAAAGGTCCTCCATAGTATAAAATAATATAAAATTATTTATTATTTTATTATAATGCCACACAACACTTCTCATCAACACCCTGCTCTAAATTGGAGTCTCTAAAATCACGTACATACAAAATGGAAAGCCCATTGGGTGTCTGCAGTCGCCTGATTTACAGCAACCAATAGGATGCAAGTCATGCTACTTCGACGTGAGCAAAAAAGTTTAAATAAACCTCTGCTTTAAATCAAATTACAATTTTTTTGTATTTAAATAATAATTTGTTTAAATTAAATAATAATTTGTTTATTTTAAATAATTAATTTTTTTGAATTAAATCAAAATTATATTTTAAAATTAAACCATGTTTTTAAAAAAATAATATTTGTTGTTTAATTTAAACTGTTTAATTTTTTACAACAAGTAAATTGTTTTTATAATTTAAGAAAGTCAACTTTTATTTAAACAGAATAAGTGCAATTTTGAAATAAAAGTCAGGTACTTTGTTTTAAATATATATTTTAATAAATTTGCTTTTTCCTTTTATTCTTTTTAAAGAAATGTTTTTGAATTAAATTTATATTTTTTTAAATGTAATAAATAAAATTAAACAAACATTCTTGTTTGAATTAAAACATCTTTCTTCTTCTTCTTCTTAATTCTGAGCCTTTGCCCAGATGTTTGGCCTTTAGCTTACTTAAATGCTATTTGGCCATAAAACATCTTTTTTCTCTGTATACTGTTAGATATACCTAACCTCACTTTATACTTTTAATAATTATTATTTTAATTTTACGTTTTATGTATTCTTTAAAAAATAAAATTATGCCTTAATGATAATGTATTTTTGTGCTTCGCTTAAACTTTAAGCTCAGCACAAAGACTAATTTTTTAGCGTAATGACATAAATAACTATTAAACGGTATAATAAAGTAAAATGTATCCTCACAAATTAGTTTTTAAAATATTGTCTTTTTCTTTCCATTTGTTCCAAAACAAAAGTGCTGAAAACAAATTTGACGTAAGTAGCCTAGCTTGTTTGGTTTTTAGACTTGTTTTGGATTATTCTCACTTGAATAAAAATGATAATTTTTACGATATCCAAAAACCCATGAATCATAATCAAAAAAGCACAGAAACCCTTACATATAAAGTATAGTCCAATACGGAGCCTTGCAGCCGCCTAAAAGGCAACTCGCATACTCTCGAACAGTTCTCGGCAGTGGTGGGCCTTCGTATCCTCGCTCGTGCACCTAGTCGAGTGGTTCTTGCAACAAACAGCCATCTGGGTTTTTGCCGGCAGTCGCAGGCAATACGCTATTCGCTGCTCCTCGAATGCGCTACGCTGTCCCGCACTGAGTACACTATACTCGAGACTATACTCTATAAATAATAGTTTTTTTTTAATACGTCGGTTTAAAATAATTTGTTTACGATATTACTTCGCGTTGATGTGCTGTGACTTTAGTGCTAAACTTTTGGATTAAAATTCAACGAGAATTGAACCTGTAAGTTCACATTATCAATATTTACTCTAGCTATGACAAATAAATGCCAAAACACTGACTGGTAACTGAGTAATGTTTTGCTATTACAGTTTTGTTGTTTATAATAAGTCGAGTTAATTACAAATAGTTTTACACATGTAAACATTATAAAGTAAATTAAATCTCTCATAATTTACTTAGTAATTTACTATGTGTATTTATGTTGCAAAAGTTATTAACCTTAACATACAAAGCGAAATAAATATACACACAGTTTGTTTCAAGACTACCTTTTATTCAAATTCTCAAATTGGCTATATCTTAATAAATTAAAATTATTAAAAATATTTTAAAATAATCTAAAACTAAATAAAAAAGTTTTATGAAAGCATATTATAAAGGAAATAATATAAAAAGCAAGAGCCCAAAAAAAAACAATTTTAAGTCTAAAAATATATTAAAAATCAAAAATTTAGAAAAACTAAATTAATTAAATCATAAAAGTATTAAATCAGGGATCTAATATCAAACCCAGCAAAGTCCATGTAAGTTACATTTTTAGAAATTAAAAAATACGCTTTTAAAATATTCCCTTAAAATAAGAGATGCACTTAATAATATGGGCAATATTATATAATAATATGACATTTTTACTATATCACACAAACTGACAAATGTGATGAAATTTGCCGATAAAATATATTGGACTTTGCGGTATTAGACCCCTTCGAAGGGGACTTTAAGCCCGCAGTCCGTTCCTACCCCTAACCCGCACAAGTCAATCAGTTAGCGTCTGGGACTTATTGTGAAGTAAGGGTGGAACTAAAAGAGCACTTTAATTAGGTGCGCCCATGGGTACCTGTATGTATTTTTTTAACATTAAAAATTATGTAAAAAATATTTTAGTTTAGAAGAAATATTACTAATCCTATAAGATTTTTATAAAATACTCTAAATGTGATTTTTTAAAATCATAAAAAATACATAATATCTTTATAACAAGAAGTAGTTTTAAATTAAATTTAAGATTTTTAAATTAAATTTAATTTAATGTTTTTGGACTATTTATTTACATCAGGCAGAAAAAAAATTTGGTGGGGGGTTTTGTTAAAATATAAGAGTAAAATGAAACTATAAAGAGATGAGTTTTTTAAAAAAATCTTAAAACACACCTTACATTTCGGGGAGGCGGGGGGCATTAAAACCCCCCCAAAACCCCCTACGCCCCTAATTTACATATAAATATATAGTCGTCTCGGCGAATGTTTTACATTGCGTCATCAATGTGTGAACTAGGCACAGATATTAAAATTTGTTGTTTTTTTATATACGTATGTGGGATGTATGCCGGACGTACATATGTCGAAAAACAGGTTTTTGACATTTTAAATGATTTCGCAATACATTCGCCGAGATCAATTCAAGTCAAATCAAATTAAACCAAATCGCCGAGACGACTATACTAGGATTTTTATAACTTGTCTGTTACGTCATCAATGCAAAATGTCAAAAACCTGTTCTTTGACATACGTATCGCTAGGGTGTTGTGAAACATTTATTATAATATGCCTCCATATTTTGAATGATAAATTAATCGACCAAATTAATTAAAAAAAATCTCGGATGCAATGTTAAATTATCGCGGGTTCCCAATTTCGATTGATTTAAGATTTCTTTTGATTTCTTCTTACTTTTACAGAGTTTAAAAACGTTATATTCGCCGCGAAAAATGTATTACGTTACGTCATCAATTTCTGAACCAAGCACAGACATTACAACTAGCTGTTTTCTTTGTATAGTCGCTGAGGCATATGTGGGATGTATAGAATATTTTAATTCGATAATAGTATATTATGTATCAAGTTTAATAAACGCCATTTTATACACGAATTTAATTTAGGCACGAACGAGCTTGCGAGCTAGTGCTTAAATTGTTGAGTGTATAGAAAAGTTTATAAACGAGGTGCTTACTTTACTTTTTCTACGACAAATACTTTTTATTATCTTAAAATGATTTAAATCAAAAATTTGTATAGAGCGCCATCTATGAAACAATAGGTGAATCTGTGTGTCACCGTCAAATGTCAAATTTTTATATTTTATAAACACAGATTATAAAGGTTATTAATCGAAATGTATTTCTTGAAAATTGACAGTTTTTCACAGTGAAAGTAAAAAAAATGTTTTATGAGCTCTTTACAGTGGAGTCCGTGCCCGAATTTAAGTTATAGTTTACTGCCGGCGAAATTAAAAGGTCAGTACAATGTTCATATAAACTTTTCAAATATTGGCGTTGAGAACCTATTTAATACTTTTGTATTTTTGTATTGAGATAATTTGTATTGAGATAATTTTCACATTTAGTATTATTTTATTTTGTTTTAACGATTCTATGACATTTGACAACTGTCAACTAACTTAAAAACTAGCTTCAACCCGTGACTAAAAACCTGTTGCTAATTTCAGCCCGTGACTAAAGCGCCATAAAGCCACAACTTGTCAATGAGTATTTAAAAGGTGGGAGTAGAAAAAATATGTTAAATTAAAGTTAAATAATAATATATTATAATAGGAGAGGTAATATGCATAAGCTCTAGTGTTATACTTTATGGTTCAAAAAAGTACAAAAATAAGGAAATTAAAACGGGTTTTTAAACTGTGATAGTGTAATATTTAAGAAATAAACAACTAAAGCGAGGCATTTTCCTGAGTAATTTTAAAAATGATTGCAGTTATCACGACTAAGATGTTGTTTAGGAAGAAAAATAACGTGTAAACCACAGCGGTTATGTTATTCTTTCAGCCTGAAAAATTTCACTTTACCGCCTAGGTCTACAATGTTCTATCTTTTATATCGCTAACAATAGCTTGTAGTCAATAATTATTTTAAATTAATAGTGTTAATAGTATATTTTACATGTCAAAAAGGTAGTTTTATTATTTAATTTTACTCTTCTTCGTTGCATTTGTATAAAAAAATATCAAATAGTATTTAGTATAGTATTTGACAAATACTGTGATTTAGAAATTTATGTCAAGAATCGTCAACAGCAGAATCGCCCAAAAACAAATAAAGAAAATTTAGGGAAGATTAAAAAATTATAATTATTATTTTAAATATTCACCTAAATTATAAAAATTTTAAACAAAATTATAAAATACAAAACCAAAAATTATGAAATTGAGGGCGAAAAATAAAAAATAAATCATTAAAATATGGTTTTAAAAGAAAAAATATATAATCTTAATTTGTAAAATCTTCTTAATATTGGTATATCACAAAATAACTTTTTAAATATTATTTTATTTCTCATGACGCAAAAAATACTTATTTTGCAAAATCAAATCTAAAGTAAGGAAAAACCATTACCGATTAAAAAATTGACTAATTCAAACCGTGAAATTATCGAGGATACATATCTGAATAAAAAATTCAAAAAATCATGCAAAAAGAATAAAGTTGCTATAATTTGTTATTTAATTAACAATAAATAAAAAATAGGACAAAAAGAATACAAATTTCAGAACATAATAAATCAAGGTTTTATTATATTGTCTAACAATTCCCATACAAATAAAAGTGAGCCAAATCCCACATTTGCAATTAATTTTATTATTTTTTATCCATGCATTAAAAACAGAGTTAAAAACATATTATTATCATGAATTTTTCTAAGCATAATGCATTTATTTTGTCAATCTTAAATTATTAAAATAATTTTTTTCTTTCTGTAGCTTTTTATTTATTTATTATTATATTATTATTATATTATATTATTATTATTATTATAAATTATTTACATAATTTATAAAACATGTTAACCTAAATAAATGTTTTGATAAAATTAGTTTTATCGATCCAAAATCGAAGGTGTGAAAAATTATGTAGTTCGTCTGGCATTTTTATGGTAATTTAATACAATTATTTTATAAAATGCATAATAATTACACTGAAACATCCTATTTGGATGCTAATTATCATTAAAACTGTCTTTAAATATGCTCTATTTTGTATAAAAGAATATTGTAATTAGTTATTCTGTATAACTACTGCAGTTAAGTTTTTTGCACGCACAAAAAGATATTCCAATTATTAAAAAACCTTCGAAACACATAGAAACAATGATTTTTTTAATAACGTTATGTGGGAAACAAATTTTTCCTCATACAAAACATGAAAATTAATTTTTAACGTCCTTCACACCAGTGACTAAGTAGAATTTAATTTTAATCCATTGCAAAATACTTTATAAATAAATAACCTTCCTCGTTATGTATTTACATACATACTTTATTATATTCGGGTTTTTATTGTTATTATTGTGTTTTTTGGACAATCTTTTGCAAGATAATGTGTTTATTTTTGTTAAAAAAATTAATGGTTATTATGTATGCTTACAATATGAAATCACACGGAAATATTAAAAATAAAATACAAAAAAATGATGCTTTTTTACTGTTTATAATTTTTCTAAAATTACTTTAAAAATACTGAGGTATTTTTTTACATTTTTAGAGAAAAAATAATTAATTATATGTTTAAAAATATAAAACAAAAGTTCTTCCAAACTATTTATATTTATTTTTAATTTACTAATAAATTTTTAGTTAGTTTAGTAAAAAAATAAAACCAGTACCGTTCGTTCCCTCGTTCAAATCAGTCAATAACAGACCGCTTCTAAAAATTTATGTCAAAACCATTTAAATAATGAATAACCAAAGACATACAGCTTAAACCAAAAGTGAAGAAATATAGTGCAAAATATTACGAATACAGATAAGTGAATAAGTGATATGTTCCCCCGTACCTGGTCATAACCACCTGCCAGCGTTATAGTTGCTTATGCATACCTGAAGATCACAGTGGAAAACAAAAGCCGAACGAGGGACTAAGGGACTCCTACAGAGACTGATAATTACATTTAATCGCATAATTCAACCAATTGCAATTTAACACATAAAAATTTAATTAAAAAGCAACTTAATTCAGTCTTTGGGACGTCAGAATCTAAACCTAAAAG